AGATTCCAAAACACCCTATAACTACGCACACACAAGCACACCCAAAGCAGCTTGAAGCCACCGTGACACCGCGGCCAAAAAAAAACGATACACCGACCGCAGCCGCAACCGTCGCACACACACGAGGTACCTTTCATCGTCGCCTGCAGCCACTTTACACGGAAAAACACAAGGTTTCGTGCTCCGGCTTCCTCCGCAAAACATAACCCATGCAACATCATGCAGCCATTCCAATGGGATCTGTAACCACAGATTCCAAAACACCCTATAACTACGCACACACAACCACACCCAAAGCAGCTTGAAGCCACCGTGACACTGCGGCAAAAAAAACTATAAACCGACCGCAGCCGCAACCGTCGCAGACACGAGGTACCTTTCATCGTCGCCTGCAGCCATTTTACACGGAAAAACACAAGGTTTCGTGCTCCGGCTTCCTCCCCAAAACATAGCCCATGCAAGATCATGCAGCCATTCCAATGCGATCTGCAAGCACAGCTTCAAGAAGCGCATAGAACTACGCACACAGGAACAACCACTCGTTGCAAAACACATAGGAGGAACAATTCGCGACAGAAACGACCCCAGCCGCAACCGCCGCACAGACGAGGTACCTTTCATCGCCGGCTGCAGCCACTTTACACGGAAAAACACAAGGTTTCATGCTCCGGCTTCCTCCCCAACTCACCCCTTCCCTTCCTCACCACTTCCCATCGTCACCACTTCACATCGTCACCACCTCCCTTCGTCACCACTTCCCTTCCTCACTACTTCCCTTCCTCACCACTTCCCTTCGTCCCCACCTCCCTTCCTCACCATTCCCCTTCATCATCACTTCCCTTCGTCACCACTTCCCTTCGTCACCACTTCCCTTCGTCACCGCTTCCCTTCGTCACCACTTCCCTTCGTCACCACTTCCCTTCGTCACCACTTCCCTTCGTCACCGCTTCTCTTCGTCACCACTTCCCTTCGTCACCACTTCCCTTCTTCACCACTTCCCTTCGTCACCACTTCCCTTCGTCACCACCCCGTCATTGTCACCACCCTTATTCTTTTGTTATGTATTGTTATGTTATGTATTGGTATACGATCTACCGCCCTTCATCATTTCAAGTCTCAGAATTCTATTTGTCCGTAACACGGAAGTATTGCTTCCCAACTTCCTTTGACAAGTACCAATACACTGCACTACTACTACAACTACAAGTACAAATATACTACGCTACATTACACAACACTAATTACACCACACCACACTAATTACGTCTAACTACACTACGCTACACTAATTACTACTACTACTACTACTACTACAACTACTACTACTACTACCACCCACTCCTACTCCCACTCCCACTCCTACTCCTACTCCTCCTACTACTACTCCTCCTACTACTACTACTACAACTACTACTAAAACTACTACTACCGCTGCTACTACTACTGCTGCTACTCCTCCTACTCCTACTCCTACTCCTACTCCTACTCCTACTCCTACTCCTACTCCTACTCCTACTCCTACTCCTACTCCTACTCCTACTCCTACTCCTCCTACTACTACTCCTCCTACTACTACTACTCCTCCTCCTACTCCGACCCCTACTCCGACTCCTACTCCTACTCCTACTCCTCCTACTACTACTCCTCCTACTACTACTACTGCTACTGCTACTGCTACTGCTACTGCTACTGCTACTACTACTACTACTACTACTACTACTACTACTACCGCCACCACCACCACCACCACCATAGCTACAACTGCAATTACAGCTACACTACATTACGCTACAATACGCTAATTAAACTGCAGTACATTGCAGCTACAAATACAACAACAACAACAACAACAACAACTGCAACCACACTACATTACACAACACTACACTACACTAATTGCAGTACATTACACTACAACTGCAACTACCACTACATTGCACTACATGACAACTAAAACTACACTACAATACACTAGACTACACTACACTACACTATACCACGCTACAGTACAACACTACAGTACACTATAAAATACAATACAATAATTACAGCACACCACAACTACAACTGCAACTACACTACACTAATTACACGACATTACAACTAGAACTTACAACTACAACTCCACTACACTACAACTACACCTACAACTACAACTACGACTACAAATGCGCTACACCACAATACATCCAGCAGTTGTGGTGAGGTGACCACTGCAACCACTGCAACCACTGCAACCACTCCAGAAAACACAACTCCAACCACCTTTTGGTCCATCAGTGGATTCGCTCTGCCATCCGTGAGTCACAACAACCAACCCTTCCTATAGGTTTCCTATTTTTGAAATTTCCGCCACCGCCTTGTGCGGTACTACTGGTAAATACTAACAAACCCCATTTATAGAACGTATAGTCGGATTTATAACCAGTTGAACCCAGTTACAACTAGTGAATGGCCATAAATGCAAGATATATCACCCTTTACATTGGGGATGATATTGGGAAGTCCTCAATTCGTGGCTTTTCCATCCTTTTTCCCCCTTATAAATCTGGGTAAATTATAATATTTCACTAACCTGAACTAAGGCCATTTGGGAATCATGTCCAATACTAACCATGATTTCCAGTGAGGTCGCAGTGAGGTCGTTATAATTTGCCCAGATAGTTCACAACCCCAGTCGTTAATCTGTGGAGTGATCACCAGTCCGACTCCCAACCTGTCTTCGCTGCGCACACTTTGCGAGCTGCGACTCGCGCGCATCATGCTGCCGCTGTTCGACGGCTGTGAAGCGAAACTTGAGTAATTAATATGTCAAAACACGTTGTCTATGTACAGTTTTTAAACAATGACATGTGTGGATTTAGTTGTATTATGTTGTATTAACAAATCAAAACATCACCAAATCCTTTTTTGCGACTGAAGAAGAAATATGACCAATTATATGATAAAATTGAAATACACATCATGTCTATAGTCTACAATTAAAATTGCAATGTTTCTTCTTTAGAGGGTGCGGGTGATGATTGAGGTCTGATTCGCTGTTCGAGTTGGATCAAATCAAAGTCCAAAAATGTTGATATGCTGAAATGAGGTATCTGCAGTGCACTGAGGTCAGTTTATTCATGTGGTGTTTATCCGATTCCAGAAAACATGTCATGATGTTATGTATATGACACGTGTGTTTCTGAAATTTGTTTCTCATATGTATATGACATGTTCTTGATATGTGTTGGTAACCTACCCTTTGAAAAAGTGCCAATTTGATTGGGATGGAACATGCACCAATCAAGTAAAGCTGCAGCAGAAACGCGGCAGTCCGCCCCGTGCAAGGTGCTGCACCAGTTTGTTAGCAGAATCGGTCTATAAGTAGGTGAAGTCTGATTTACGATATATTTAAATTTAATATATGGCATAATATGTAATATATATAATGTAATATATACAAAATAAAATTAAATATATAGAATATAATATATAATAAAATAACTTAGTATAAAATATTTTAATATATATTATATAATATCAATATAAATATAAAAAATATAATATATAGAACATAAGATATAAAATCATAAATATATAAAATATAAAATACAAAATATATAATATAGTATAATTTGATTTAATATAATATAATATTAAAAACATATTATAATATAATTGATTAAAATATAATATATAGCATATTAAAATATAATATATAACATATTAAAATATAATATATAACATAATAAATAATATATAATATATAATTTATAAAATATAGAATATAAATTAAAGTATATCATATACAATATATAATATATAATGTATAATACATAATGTATAAATATATAATGTATAATATATACTATATAATATATAATCTATAATATATAATATATAATGTAATATATATATAATGTATTATATATAAAATATAATATATGAAATATAATATAATATAATATATAAAAATAAATATTATATATATATGTATATATACAATATACCATATATGATATAATATATATATAATTAAACAAAATATATAATATAAAATATAAAATATAAAATAAAGAATATATTATATAATGTATATATATAAATAATATAAACATATATTATGTATATATATATATACATAGTGAATGGGGTTTCCAAAGCAACTTAGAACGGGGAGGCACCATCTTTCAAAAAACTCTTTGCCAACTCCAGGGACTCCAACATTCCCATGACGGATCCGGCCGGTGCTGGTATATTAATGCTAACATAACGGGGATATATGAATGGTAAATGTGACCATATATAGCAGCACCATGGATCCGTCATGGGATTACACTTTAATGATGTTAAGTTTGGATCTTTCAGGTAAAGAAACATCATCTTTCGATGACATCACCGTTAAAAAAAAAAAACAAATACATGTTATAACCTGGTAGCTGGGCAGCTCTTACGTGGAAGTTCATCCTTTTTTTTTAAGCTTTTGACTCATCCCAACTAAATTTCAATATGGTGTTTTACCAAACATATTGCATGGGAAATGTCATGTTGTTCAATAGATTAAGCCATGATGGTTGTGGGCGATATCATCCATTACATTATCCATGATATCCGTTATCACGGCCACAATGGTGATATGCTCCACATCCCATTTGATTTTTCCTATTGAGAATTTACCCTCCACTAAATTAACATAGACCCTGCCAAATAGGGGTTGGAAGACTATATAGTTTCCACTGAAAATGGGTGATTTTCAGGTCAACATGTTAATTTACCAGAAGGTATATATCACTATTATATTGATGATTAACTATTGCTAGATGGATAATCGGATAATCAACAATCATGATTATATATCAACTATACAAATATGGAGGTTTCCCAAAATGGGAGTACTCCAAGTCACCATAGGTTTCACAACAAAAAAATGGTCATCCATGACTTGGATGATTTGGGGGTACCCCCATTTGAGGAAACCCCTACGATGCCGCCCTCGCCACAGATCTTTTCGCATCTCTTTACCTCGGCGACGGCAGTTTTAGGATCCAACGGGAAGGGGCACGACATAGATGGGCCATGGGAAGCTGACGCGAATCCTGTGCCATGCAACTGGGGATTTTTTTCCCCCACACAATATCCCAATGAAGTAATCCATTTACTAACTAGTTTTCCCTAACGGAAACATGGCCCATCTAAGTAGAATTATCCAAAAGATGTTGGTTTACAATAGTTTAATACACTAGTTTAAACATCTTTATTTATTGCATTATGATAAACAAATTGGCGGGTCATCACTGGGCTAACGGCTAACGCTTGGATTTCCGGTGGAAAAAAAACAGCTTCTATTGACGGACCGTGGGATTGATAACAATGTCATTACTTTTCGGGGCAACATTTTGGTAGATGGATGTAGATGGTACTTTGGTAACCGTCAGTTAAACGGTGTTCTGGCCATGCCAAATGGGAAAGTAACTTGAAGTCCCAGCTGTCACTAGCTGTCGCTAGCTCATGATTGAACCATATAAAGGTAGTATATAGATATAAAAAAAATGAAAGATCATTTGAAATCATTTATATAGTAAAACTCTTAAAATAAAGTTAGCCGCGTTCTCTGAAAACTTTGAAACGCATTGGATTTCAATGAACCGGCCCGAAATTGGGATAGATTCTGCCGTAAGCAGACTCTGCTTACGTGTCATCATCCGTGGAGCATCACCCAAATAAACCAACATCTGGGTAAATTTAATAATTCACTAACCTGAATTAAGGCCATTTGGGGATGATTTCCCTTACTAACCATGATTTCCAGTGAGGTCGCAGTGAGGTCGTTATAATTTACCCAGCTGTTTGGGGTAGTGCATAGGACTTAAGAATCAACTCTGGGGCTAACCATCAATCGGAGTTACCCGGCCTGGTAAACGTTGGATAACTATGGAAAATCACCATTTTTTATGGGTAAATCCATGTAAATCCACTATAAATGTGCCATTTTCAATAGCTCTTTGTATGTTTACCAGAGGGTACATCATGTGGCATTATCCACGAAGAAACTCAACCCCCACAGAGCCAAGCGACGCAAAGCCCGCAGCGCGCGGTTTGCTCCGCACGTTTTTGCTTTGTCGTGAAGTTTTTTTGGTCCTGTAATCCAAGGCCAGTTGATTCTTGAATTTTGGGGTATTGCATAATTATATGTCAATCTTGAATTAATTGCTATAGTTAATGACAGCGGTTGATTCTTGAATTCTTGAACTATATCCAAGTGGTTTAATATTATCTGTCTCTATGTATACATATATATATATATGTATATGAATACTGTAATATGTATTCAGCAAAACTAGTCTGTGTGGTGTTTCGTGAGTCGAAAGAAAACTGGATTTCCAACATCTGTTGGAATCTCAAAAACAACATGTACATTAAGTGAAACAACAGTGACACATGAACACACACGATTTCAAAAATATAACAAAATCAAAGGAATGCACATACTATGAAAAAAACACAAAAAAAAACTGTATCAAATCTGCTCAACAATGGCAGAAAGATACAAAGACCTCCAAGAGCCCCGATTCCTGGGAACAAATCAAATTTACAATAGCTTGGAACATTCCACTTACTAGTGACTACCCTCTGGTAAACTATTTCTATGGCCATTTTCAATAGCTATGTTAAATTACCAGAGGGTATGTGTACATCCCGATTTGTATTCCAACATACCTGAGACTTTCCTTTTCAGCAGGATTCAGCAGGTGTGTTTTTCGATCCAAAAAGTTGGGGAGGAAGCCTACGCCCTACGTACGGTTCTATATCCACTTCGAACTGGAACTGCACCCCCAAGAACCGTTCATCATCGCTATCACTATATTATAGCCACAGAGCATCATGATTTTCCCACCCTACCTCATGTTCTCGCACTACTCCGCTATACTTGGTGGCTCATCCCACGAATCCTAAGTAGGTTTATATATATATATATCATTTTAGATCCCTTGTTCATCCACTGGGACAAGCAGGGTTAATCCACGAATCCAACTAGGGTGAACTAACCTACTTTCGATCCGTGGGATCAACTACAATAACCCACTTACGATTCGTGGGATGAACCACCAAGTAGGGCTATAAAATTTGGGCTGATCCTCCGTATCCAGTCCTCACAGGTACTTTGCCCTGAGGCCAGCGGCCGATTGAAATAGATGTGGGGGGCAAAAGTCCAAGGTGTTGCCCCATATCCTCGAAAAAATTGGGATTTGATCAAGAAAAGTGATGATTTATATTCTCATTGGTGGTATACCTACTAACCTACCCCCCTGAAAAAATGATGGAGTTCGTCAGATTGGATCATCATCCCAACTATTGGTGAAAATAAAACATGTTCCAAACCACCAATCAGTATTGATTCATGATGATTGAGTTGGCAAACATCACTGTGCCAACTAGGGTTTATGTTGATTCTGACTATAGCTAAATGGAGTGAACAGAAACCAGCTTTTGACTTGGGGGCATCACCTATGTGGGAAATACCCCCAATAGGGGACCTCAACATGTTCCATAAAGTAGATAGATCCAAGGTTTCGTTTATGGGGTTGGGGAAAAGGATTATACACCACAATGGCCATGCTGACAGGCACAATAGCAACAATAATCATCAATAATCCCTTCAGCAGTATACTCGCTCAGGGCTCAAATTCTAGTTCAGTGGGGTACGAGTAACATATCCATTTACCCTCCAGTAAATTAATATAGATCCTGCCAGATAGGAGTTGAAACATTAGTTTCCTCTAAAAATTGGTGATTTTCAAGGTCATCATGTTAATTTACCAGAGGCTACGTCCATTTATCTCTAGCAAGCACCAGTAGTTACATGCTTTCGGAAATCTGCCAAGGACTTCTTTCATTTGTTGTACAAATGGCTCAAAGCGATGCGACTCAGCAGCTCGCTAGATCTACTTTGTATATTATAAAGCTATACATTGGATGGTGACGAAATCCTGCACCAGTTGGTAAGTACGAAGGTAACTATGTAGCATGGTCCCATGGTCTATTTGATACAATGTGAGGCCCCCAAACACGATAGCGTTCAGTTGGTGAACATAACTTCAACAACGTTTGGGTTTATGATACGCAAATATCTATAGTATTCATGGATATTCATGTGGTTTATAAACCAACATTCCCATCACTGGGGGGCTCCACATTGTATGAAATTATAGGGAAAACCAGGTAACTATGTAGCATGGTCTATGAAACATAGGATTACAATTGGCATTTTGCCCATCAGAAATGTGACCTCTGGGGCCGGGTATGCCGATGATCGCAGTCACATATCAACACCTGGAACCATGAAACATATCAAACATTACTTACTGGTGCTTAGGGTGGATCCAATGAACCAGGTGTTTTTACTATGGAACAATCACCATTCTTAATGGGAACAATCATCATTTTTAATGATAATTTCGCCAAATTACATCATTAACACCAGGTATATAACAGGAACATATAACCTTTGGATACCCATCGCATCATTGTTGTCATTAGCTATAGTAGTAATAACACTGTTACTTAATACTTACTGGTGCTAAGCGTAGGGAATGGATGGGTTGCTGGGGGTTGCTGGGATGATTATTGATAGTTAGCCAGTGGTCATTCCCGAAAATTCCCTACATAAAACGCACCAGTAAGATTATCAAACTGTAGCCGTATATTCTGATTCAACCAGCATTACTTCAAACATGATTACCCTCCAGTAAATTAACATAGACCCTGCCATTTTTCGGGGTTGGAAGACTAGTTTCCATTATGTTTCCATTAAAAATTGGTGATTTTCAGGGTCTACTGTATGTTAATTTACCAGAGGGTAATACATACTGTGGATGGTGGCGAAAAACAGCGAAAAGCCTGATGGCAACTATGGTCATGTAACTATGTTTGGCATGGTTTATTTAGTTTGTTTTTATAGGATTACAATGGGATAAACTGCCCAACAACTGGTGCAGGATGTCGCAACCATCTACGATATCGTGGCAACGGCAACGGTGACTATCCTAATTGAATCTCCTCCAAACTTTTCCCACCAGTCCATCCAGATGGTGTCTGAAAGCTCTGATCTTGGAAAAATCCCAGAAAAATCTATCCCAGATGCGAACCATGGTGCTGGAATATGTGCCTACATTTGCTCCAAACATGGCCCAGTTTTGTAGCTAAATATTCCATGGTTCGCATCTGGGTATGAATCAATGTGTTGTTTCCCATTTTATGAGGCGTATATTTTCAGTCACAGCCACCCTCTGGTCATCTGATGGATGATTTCCCCGGCCACAAAACTCATGTTTTTTGCGGGAATTTCCCAAAATTTCCCATATGGGTATGGATCAATAATACCTATTAATACCATTTTTAGGGGAATGAACATCCATAAATCCCAGCTATTTTGATGTGAACTACAGGGGTACAAGGTTTTGACAAAATTTCCCATATGGTTTTTCTACATGTTCTAATGTTTTCTCATTGTATATCCATTTATAATGTTTTTCCCCAGCCATGTTTGATAAGTACGAGTAGATTAAATGCCATTGAATCCCATGAAATCTTGATTCTGGTTGGTGAAGTCACCACTAAATCCCATGAAACCACCATTTTTGTTGGTGAAATCCCCAATATGCTTGGTGAAATCATCATGAAATCACAGTTTTGCTCATTAAATTACTATTACCCTCTGGTAAACTAACATAGCTATTGAAAATGACCATAGAAATAGTGAGTTTTCCCATGAATAGCATGGTGGATCTTCCCATAGGTTTATGTAAACGTGGCAACTCCCTACATAAACTGTATGGTATCCTCTGTACTGTATGGTATCCTCTGGTTATTTGCTACATAGCTATGGAAAATGGTCCATTTATAGATGATAAATATGATTGAAACCACCAATCAGGAACTGATATCTGATAACAGAAGCTATTGAAAATAGCCATTTGTAATGAGTGTTCCCATGAATAGCATGGTGATTTTCCATAGTTTTTTGTTAAAGTTTACCAGAGGGTAACCTGTATTTTTCCTACAAGGTGGTGCCCCCCAGTGATGTGAATGTTGGTTTATAATCGATATATCTACAAATTAGAGTTCTGTTCACCAACTTAGCTATCTTGGGGGCCTCACATTGTAGATATAATACATACTGTGGATGGTGGATAATAAGCTCCAGTAACTATAGAGTTAAACCATATTTATTGGAGTTATGTTCACCAACTTAGCTATCTTGGGGGCCTCACATTGTAGATATAATACATACTGTGGATGGTGGATAATAAGCTCCAGTAACTATAGTTATTTGCGTACCATAAACCATAGTTATTGGAGTTATGTTCACCAACTTAGCTATCTTGGGGGCCTCACATTGTAGATATAATACATACTGTGGATGGTGGATAATAAGCCCCAGTAACTATAGTTATTTGCGTACCATAAACCATAGCTATTGGAGTTATAAACCAATATTACCAGATTACCATAGTTATAATGGCTTCTGTCCATAATATAGTTATAAGTACCATAGTCCATAATAATCGCTATTACCTATATTTTCCTATCGTTTCCTACGAGTTTCCCTATGTTTATCAGCTATGTGGCCATGAAAAATGCCATGAACGCCGCCTTGGAGGTGAGGTCCGGCCAGCCTCCCTGCGGTTCAGGGACGACCTGCGGTTCAGGAAGCGGTTCGAAATGGTGGGAATTGATGGTGGATGATTTTAGTTTTATGGTTGGGTTTACCCTCTGGTAATTTAACATAGCTATGGAAAATCCATCAGATCTTGGAAAAAGCTCTGATCTTGGAAAAATCCATCAGAAAGATCTATCCCATATGCTCCATGGTGCTGGAATATTTACCAACATTTGCCCGAACAAAATCACCCAAATGTAGGTAAATATACCATACATGGAGCATCTGGGTATGGGTTTACCCTCTGGTAATTTAACATAGCTATGGAAAATCACCATGATTAATGGGAAAATCCACTATTTCTATGGTCATTTTCAATAGCTATGTTAAATTACCAGAGGGTATATATGCATACCTGGAAAAACCAAACGGCAAAAAAAAACGCCTCGGAGGGTCTGCGGCGCCTCCAGTTGATCTGAGGCATTTTTTGCTTTGCTGAGGCATTTGTTGTTTTCTGAGGCGTTTTTGTTGTAATCCTTGTTTTTCACTGTTGTTCCTTTTTATCTGCTCTAGATTGTTCTGGGATGGGTAAATGACAGCGGACATTTCTTTGATTTCAATACCTGCGAACGCAAAGCCTTGGCTAAATCCAATTCCAAATCTCAATAGTGTAAATCACTTAAAACTGGGGGCGTAGCTGCTGCGTGGCTAAAATCTGTCAGCGAGACTGTCATTGCCCACAAAATGCTGTCTCACTGGAATTGTTTGTTGCTTTTTGGCATTTGCAGCATGTTTCCAAAAGGCAACGGAAGTGAATACGACAAAAATTGTTGTCATGAAAAAAAACAAAGGTACACCAGGGAAAACATGGAAAAACTGAAAATTCAGAGGACAGAAAACGGCGGAAAAGGGCGGGAAAACGGCGGAAAAGGGCGGGAAAACGGCGGAAAAGGAGGGACTCTGAACATTGAGGTCCAAATCTTGCCGGAAACATGCCCAAAAGGTTGTATCACGGATTTCGAGTCTTCTAGTTTTCTTCTTGCCGTGAAATTTTGTTGAAAGCTGCAATGCAAATGATTCAATGTCGATGAAAGCCAACGCTTCAAATGTGCAACTATGAACACATATATACTGTATATACTGTATATATATACTCTAGGGTTTGTTTTCTGCATTGTTTCTCTTGCAGCGTTCACTACATAGGGAAATCATAAGAATTCCTTAGCAGTACGTGCGGCTGTTTGTCAGGGGTTTGGTCCCTAGTTGTGGGCTTTACAACTGAAAAGTCGCCATGGCAGGAGTCATAGGGCTTTGGTAAACTCTTGTGTTTGAGGCGTTTTTTGCTTTCCAGAGGCGTTTTTAACCCAGCAGAGGCAAAACAAAACTCATGCGGCGTTATTTTTCGCCTCGGGCGCCTGAGGCATTTTTTTCTGCCTCTGGTGTTTCTAGGTATGTTTATATATGTCTATAACTGTATATGTTTTTTTAAACGTGATATGTATCAATGGATTGGTTTAGGGGAAAATGTTAACCGAAAACCATAGATTTGTCCCATTGTTCATATGGGGTTTTCCGGTTAAAATTGTCCCACAAACCAATCCATTGATTTTATGGTTGGGTTTATATATGCATATGTTTATATCTATATATGTCTACAACTGTATATATTGTTTAATGATATGTTTATGTGTTTGAAATGTTGTTTTTGCTATATTTATGATAGAGATCAACGTTATGGATCCAGATGATTCTAACGAAGACATGGATTTCGACTTTGAAGCTGTTCAAATATATTTTAAGTAACAACAATTGGAAGTCATGTATCTTTCTCCGGTCAAGCCAGGCCTTGTAGCCATGCTGCTGCAGAGACTTCACGATGCCTTCCACGTGGCAACAACCCACCTGGCAACGGCAACACGGCAACGGCGTTGGATCCTCAAGGTGGCTATATTCATGCTCGGATCGCAGTGGGAAAATATGAACAACATAGGGGAACCGTGGGAAAATAGGGCTTAGCCTCTGGTAAACATACAAAAAAATATGGAAAATCACAATTTTTAATGGGAAAATCAACTATAAATGGTCATTTTCAATAGCGGAACCTAGAAAATAGATACAATGTGATGCCCCAAACGAAACCAAACAAAAGCAGGCCGTCAACGTTGGAAGGACAGTATACTATACATAAATATACATAAACGGGGGTTTCATGAAAACTATAGATATATCAGATATATCCCATTAACTATAAGACTATAAGATATCTGTCCAAAGACCAGGCCAAAGCAAGGCACAGGGTCGACTCCGGGGGTTCCTGAAATGAGGGTAGCCCGATAGCTGGATGGTTTATGTATATTGGACATGCTGATTAAAACATATTAACATGGTTTATAATTTCGATATACATATTTATATACATATATATTCCAATATGTAATGATATTGATACATACAAATATATACATATATATATGGATATTCTAATATATAGTGATATTCTATGGATGAATATGGGTGATTTTGGTGCTAGCCCCATTTTAGGAAACCTCCATGTGGCGCCGCAGATGAATTGTTTAATTTTGTACTCCTTGCTGCACTGACCACATGATGTTTCCAGCAACCATCTCAATAGCTGGCCGGCTGACTGGTGATTCCGCTGCTGGCGAAAATGGCCCTATACCAGAGGTTTAGCAAAAAAGGCTGAGATAATCTGTTAACAGTGTTGACATTCCAGTGGAAACATCGGTGCAGTCACTACGTATCATCCATTTTCAAGGGATTTTCCATTATAAATCAAGCAATTTGGGAATCCCCTATTTGTGGAACCCACCATATTAACCAGCTTCCTATAACCCATAACCCTTTAAGCCTTTCACCAGTGTTTTCCCAAATGGAACGCTTCTCCGAAGAGTCAGTAACCGGGTTGTAACCTGGTATACACCCAGCTACCGGGAATACTGGGATACTAACCAATTACCCTCTGGTAAACGTTAACAAAAAACTATAGAAAATCACCACTGTTAGGTAAATCAACTATTTCTATGGCCATTTCCATAGCTACGGTGGATGGTTAAAAAAAATCCTGCACCAGTTGCTAGATGGGCCAAATCCCATTATATCCCATTATTTATACAATGTGAGGCCCCCCAGTTATGTTAGTTGGTTTAGATTCGCACCAGTAACTATAGTTATTTGCGTACCATAAACCATAGTGACATTGGAGTTGTGTGAACCCCAACTGAACGCTATCGTGGCCGGGGGCCTCACATTGTAGGCTTTCAACATGTTTCAACCATCCCAAATTGGTGGTTTATCGGATTTCGCAACGGCCCATCCACAATATGTCGCATCTCCAATGTCTCAACTGCAAGGGGTCCCAAGTCAATGCCCCGGCCTGTAAAAACAGGTGAGCCATCAAATAACTCACCAACCCGTCCCATGAATTGGTTGGTTAATAGGTACTTGGTGGTTTTCACTACAATGTGGTGCCCCCAGGATAGCTAAGTTGGTTTATAACTCTAATCACTGGGACTTATGGTAGATATATCGAACTAGTTAATGGGATTATAAACCCACTTATAACTTGGGGGCACCACCTTGTACCCACAAATATCACAAATCCACTGGGATTTAAATCAGCATCAACCAGCATGTAAAAGGCATATGTTCATGGCATCAAGTGCGCCATAAAAAGCAGCATCTCATTATACTAGGGTTGATAGGTTGGTTTCCCTCCTACGAGTTATCATAATCATAATATTCAACAAATTGGATAGTTTAAGTCCCTATATCATGCAATCAGGGTATATGAACCAGTAATTCCCATTATTAACAAATGATGAATCTAAATGAGCCATTATCCAATTAGGTAGCATAACTCCTTGCAGTAACCCTAGCATAACTATGGAAAATCACCATTTCAATGGGTAAATCCAATATAAATGGGCCATTTTCCATAGCAAACTGTTAGTTGACCAAAGGGTATATACCAGGTTACAACCCGGTTACAACCCGGTTACAACCCATTAAAAATGGTGATTTTCCATAGTTATGTTAGTTTACCAGAGGGTAAACCTATATCAACCAGGATACTTTTTCATAGCACCCAGTGAATTGCCTCTCCCGCCTGCAGCACCGCACGTTGCTTCGCTTCCAAGCGTGAGTGTTTGCCCTCCAAGACGCGTGCACGGCCTTCCAAGGCCTCAGAAGATTTTCTTATGGACGTTTGAAGTGGCTAGGGAAATTTATGGATTGTGAAACCACCATTAAAACAAATCCCATGAAAACCCGATTTCTTCACTGAGGCCGTGGGCAGAGGTCACAGCGTTGGCCATCGCGGGGTCGCGTTCTTCCAGCCAAAGACCTCATTGGCCAGTCATTGGAAATCAAGATTCTACTATCATTGGAATCATTTGGTAATATATCATTACCAAACTGGTTGGTGGTTTCAACCCCTCTGAAATTTAACAAATCAAGATTCTACTATCATTGGAATCATTTGGTAGTATATAGTTACCAAATATATGTTGGTATTATATCATATTATAGTTTGTATATTTGCAAAAACATTTGGTATTATATCATTTGCTAATAATAATTGTATATCTGTTGGTATTATATTCTACTACCAAATAGATTATATAACTAGTAATCATCCTTCGCTCTTCCCTTGGGAATCAAGATATACAGGATGGGGCCCCCAAGATTGCGTTCAGTTGCCTTATAAGTGGCTGATTTCTATGGTTTATGGTAGATATAAGTATAGTTTATGGATGTTAATGGGGTATTACTATCAACGGAATATAGCCTTGGAATATCATGGAATAATATCACATGATAAATATGATACAATGGTGATGATTTTTAGTCCCCTGGATAGCGTTCAGTTGACTTATGACTTGGTGATGAATGGAATCAACATTTACTGTCATAAGATATTTTTCAGACTTGGTTATGGATCAATGTCATATAACCAAGTCATAAGTCAACCATAACTGAAAATCTCTGAAAATGACTTGGTTATTTAATCCAAAGGGCCTATTTAAATCATATATATATGGTATTTCGGGCTTTTTTTTAACCAACATCCATGCCCATTAATCCCATGAATCACCATTGATTAAATCCTCTGATGAAAAACATATGGGAATCATGGGATTCAATGGGATTCATGGGAATCGAAAGAAACCATGTATAAATGGCACGTATAAATGATATAAACGGATGGATATAGTTTGACATGAGTTATGGCTATAAATGGCTATTTCTATGGTTATTTCAATGGACGTATGATTCAATAAATGGGGCGATTTCGCTGACTTATAACTGGTAAAGGGCCATAAGTGTATCAGTGGAACAATAAATCATATCGACATTGATATATGTTTCTGAAATAAATGGGGGTACTATAATGTTTCAACTATGGTTTCAATGGAATATCATTAACATATCATTGGAATATGGACCATATAATCTAACATATGCATAGCAAACATTAATGCGTTGCTTTGGGACTATACTAAGCCCCCCCAAAAAGATAGCTAAGTTTTCGAGACCATTCGCGTGACATCAGGTGACAACAGACGTGTCTCTCTGATGGCTTGGCGCTCTCGCCGGGCCAACAGTGGCTCCCAAAATGGGAAAATCCAGTTCAATGGAAATCATATCTTTTTTTGTCAGGAAAATCCAGTGTCCATTTGTCCACACAATAATGATTTTATGGATATGATAAAGATATGGATAATGGATTATTTATATGGAAATGATAAATTTATCCATTGTCCCATCATTTCTATACACCCCAACTATGGCGGTAATGGGAAAATTATGATCTTCAATTGGAATCCCATTTTCAGCTAAGGCCACGTGGCTTCGTTGGTAAAGCCAGTGCCTGTTTGTGGTTAAAGATAGAATCAAACAAACAACCACAAAGTGGTGCCACATTGTTAGCTAAGTTGGTTTATAAGTCCCATAACTATGGTTTATGGCAGATATAACTAAAGTTAATGGGGTTTATAAACCCACTATGTTCACTATACGGTTTATGGTGATTATGGTGATTCTATCGGATTGTTGTAGTTTCCATGGAGTTCTTTCAACCAGCCTTGGGGCACCGCGTTGCACGTTTTTCTCTGGGGGTCAGCTGCTGAAGTTGGCTGAATCCATATCCCCGGACTTCTGATTGTTGCCGTTCAACATGACTGGTTGGTGGTATATACACCCATGGTGAATGATCAATCATGGCTTATCATTGGGATTAAAATCAGATATTCATGAGATGTTAATGGAATGTGAATCTGATTGGTGGTTGACCTACCCTATAAATATATATATATGAAAGTCAGCTGGGATCATGAAAATTTTCAAATATATATATATATGGAAACAATTGTAAAAATAATCCATATGTTCCAAAGCACCAACCAGATGAGGCCAGCCAATCTCGATTGAATACCCTCTGGTAAACGTTTACATAACTATGGAAAGATCCCCCATGCTATCAATGGGTAAATCCACTATTTCTATGGCCATTTTCAATAGCTATGTAACAAATTACCAGAGGGTAATTGGTTCTTGCTTGCTAATTGAATAGGTTACTATATAGTTATAATTAATATATTGGTCCTTAACTTACTTTAACAATAATAAGCGAACATAGATTAGCTACCCTCATCACATTGCCAATCTTTTATGTTCGATCACAGTTCGTGAACATATTCCCACAATGTGAGGCCCCCGGCCACGATAGCGTTCAGTTGGTGAACATAACTTCAATAACGTTTGGGTTTATGATCCTTTCAACATCTTACAACTATAGTTTTTCATGGGGTTTATAAACCAACATTCCCATCACTGGGGGGCTCCACATTCCCACCATTTGCTGAGTTACGCCGTGTAGCAGCTTCAGCAAATCCCACGGCTGGACCTTGAGCGACGGTTTATGATAGCCCTGGTTTTTTTTTACCCGCAGACCCTTTAGGGGGGTACCATCATTTATTGGTTGGTGGTTTCAATCCCTCTGAAAAATATTAGCCAGTTGGGATGATGAAATTCCCAATATATGGAAAAACTAAAAAAATGTTCCAAACCACCAACCAGTTGAAGTATTATAGTATCACTATTTGGGGAATACCCCCATAATTAATGAACCATGGTCTATTAATAAGGAGTTGACATTAGTATAGATGTCTATAGTTAGTGATGTTTCTATACCCACTTATAACTAAAAGACCCCAAGTTTCGATTCATACTTGGGACTACCATGGATTTACTGATGGTATATAACTACTTGGTTCCCGACCCACAGAGGGCCGTATGGTTTTAGGAGTTGTTCATCAACAAACATGTCGTTTTCGCTACAGCGAAACGTCATTTCTTATCATGTTGACGTGAAAAATAGGGTTTTGAAATCTCCAAAACCACTTCGTTTTTTGACATAAGTTCGTGTTTTTTTGGGATGCTGCACTTTTTTCCTTCTTCTCAGAAGCTCTTCAAACTTTTGGCATGTGACTCCCAAGCACGGTTTCCATCTGCAAGTGCAAGAGAAGATCACCATAGCGTAGCATGACGTGTGTGTGCAAGTGCAAGAGAAGATCACCATAACGTAGCATGACGTGTGTGTGCAAGTGCAAGAGAAGATAACCATGACGTAGCATGACGTGTGTGTGCAAGTTGACATGAACGTTATTGCCCCACCCCACCCCACCCAACCCCACCCCAAGATAACCATAACATAGCATGACGTCCGTGTGCTAGTTGACATGAAAGACCACCAAAAAACGAAAAATTGCCAAACAATGTTTAAAACAACGCGGCCTTCTATGGGTCGGGCTCCAACTACTTCCTCAGAAAGATTTACCAGCAGCAAACTGGGATTTCAATGGATTTCGTAGGAATATTTACTGATATGAACATTTTACAAAAAAATCACCGGTCAGGGCTAACTTGGAGGATCACCACACGGATCATCACTGGTGAACGTAACTGGGCTTGGTAAACACCCATTTACAAATGGGACAACCCATGGGGCAAAAATCCGATCATGGTGGGATGATTCTCCTAGAATCTTGGCGCGATGATCGTCGAGATTTTTGACTGGCTGGTGGTTGACCTACCCCTTAAAAATATACTGTTAATCTATGGTTATTATATGGTTAATCTATGGTTGTTGTATGGTTAATGATGGTTAATAATAATCTGGCTGGTGGTTTCAACCAACCCCTCTGAACAATCATGGAGTTCGGAAATGTTGGGATGATGAAATTCCCAAGAAATGGAAACATAAAAACTGTTTGAAACCACCAACCAGATAATATAAATATTTGTTTTGACCAGTTGAAAATTGGGAACATATTGAGACTTGACCAGCAAAATGGAGGATTGGATGCCCAGGAAGTGGTTTTTTGTGGTTGCTCCTGGTTACTACACCGCAAGTGCTTCGTGGTGTCGAACCTGATGGGATAACTCCAGGACAGTTATCCAAATCACTGGGGTTAAGTATGGGGACCATACAGGATATAAACCCCCCCAGCTACGTAAGGAATGGATGGTGATGGAGGAATGGGATGACTATGAAACTAGTGATTTAGTAGGATCATTCCCGAAGCCATTCCCTGCGTAAAACGCACCAGTATACGGTTTTTTTTGTTGGTCTCTGTGCACCCATCTAACTATAGATACGTCCACCATAAGTCCTAGATCAATTATAAACCAACTTACGTATCTCTCAATGGATCGGTTTCAGGGAAAAACTTAACCGGAAACCATCGTTTTTCCCATTTTTGATCATGGGGCTTTCCTGTAAATTTCCAACCAATCCATTGAATCTCGATAAAAGAATTTTGAGAAACGACGGACATCGTGGAATAGGGCGCCTTGCTGACAGAGCGCAACTTGCGCTCAACGCACTGTGCTGACAGTGTGCTGCGCTCACAGATGCGAGAGGCAGATCGTCACGTCCGGACCAAGCAGTATGTCCTTCCTAAAGAAACAGTTTGCTATTGAAAATGGCCATAGAAATAGTTGATTTTCCCATTAAAAATGGTGATTTTCCATAGTTGTGTGAGTTTACCAGAGGGTAATGGCCCTAACCTTTGCACGCGCAGCAACGATTTTGCAACGCTTTAGTTCTTCAGTCAATAGCCATTTTGACATAACCAGAGGGTAACCCGCAGATCTGGAGTATTTTGGAGCACCGTCATCGCCCCCCCGATGGTCATGTCCCAGTCCGATGATTGACCCAGAGGGTTATACTTATGTCAAAAAATGCTGCGAACAAATCCAATGTGGAATAAAAAATGGTAAATCATGGCTAATTGGAGATCCAAGATTTTGGAACACTGAAACTGCGACAAATCCAGTCCCTTATGAAAAATATCCCTTTGGAAACCCGAGTTTCATAATGAATCTATTGATTTTCGGGTACATAGCATTGCCAAATATTGCCCAGCTTAGATACCCTGCAAATGTACTAGCAAGTTGGCCAGATCTTAGGGTACCTTTTTTCGTGAGGATTCATGATCTGGATGGATTGCACCGCATGAAAGCTGCTTGAAACTACTCTATTCAATCCCTATATGATGTCATGGTAATGGCGCCATCAGTGATTAAGACAGGTATTTCTCGAAATGGGGGATCCCATCAATCAACATCTTCATTACCACTGTCTAATTTCGAATGATTTAGGTTTGTCTGAAAAAATGGCATAGCCCAAAACTTAATGTTTCTGAAAATTAACCTTATTAAGATGGCCTCTTTTTATTGGCAGTATACCTGGGTATGATCATGGTGAACTACCCAATGTTTCATCATTTTTCCTCCTCATATCTCCATTTCAAGGCCTCCCAAAAAGAGAAATCCGTGCCCGGCGCTGGTAAAAAAACAACGCCCGGGTCCGAGGCTTCCGGCGGCATAAGCCGAGCCCATAGTCCAAGGAAGGCAAATCTCCTGCGGTGGGAAACTAACCAAAAAACGCGAGATTTAACAAACTATACATTACCCATAGGATCCATGTATTCTATATATGGTAACATGAATCCCATCAATATACCCCATTCATGTTAGCATATGTACCAGCACCATGGATCCTATGGGTTATGTAGCAACCACCCAAAAAGTTGTGCCGAATTAGGGTTCTATCTTTCCGGTGGGTTACTACAAGCGGCGACTCTACAAACAAATGGATTTCACTGGTTCCCAGTTCCCCTATGTAAAAGCTATAGCTTTCTGGTGATTTCTATATAGTGATTTCTACTGGTTGGTTAACGGTTATGTAAGAATTGCCATCCCAAAAGAACAGTCGTTTTGGAAACGGCTGGGAGGCCACAAAGTGAAGACGTTAGAGCAACACATGGAGTTACTACCTCATTGGCATCCAGTTCCGCCCTACAAGTGCAAATTCAAAACATAGATGTCCATTGTAAAAACCACAGAACATTCAAACAATATTCAAATATAACTATATATAGATATATAAGTACATGTACATGTATATGTAAATGTAAATGTATTATTATATGTACATGTATATGTACATGTATATGTACATGTATATGTACATGTATATGTACATGTATATGTAAATGTCCATAATGTACATGTGTAGATGTATATGTATACACTGAAAACATGAGCAAAGGAAAGCGGACATCCGCTGGCTCCAACCCCAGGGGCCCCAGCAGTCTGTCAGTCCAGAGAGCTCCCATCAAGGCCGACTCCAAGCACCCATTCAGTGGAACTGCCTAGATGCACACTCCAAATTACCTTCTGGTTATGTCAAACATAGCTATTGAAAATTGCCATTTATAGTGGATTTACCCATTGAAAATGGTGATTTTCCATAGTTATGTAAACGTTTACCAGAGGGTACAGTACACAGAATGGCTGTGTTCAGCAAATCCCAAATTCATTTTCTTACTGAATGATGCACCACTCATCAGCCTGTGTTTGCCTACGTGCTATGTACATGGATAGTCTTAGTAGAGACTTTGAAAAAAACAGCGGGATACAGGTTTACAAACCCCAGTATAGTTATTTGCGTACCATAAACCATAGTTATTGGAGTTATGTTCACCAATTTAGCTATCTTGGGGGCACCACCTTGTAGTGTCTAATTATTTTCCCAGTTCTGGAACACAATTAAACCGCTAGCGTTGACCCAAAGTAGGATGAAACACCAGTTCTTTGAACTACTTCGATGGGCCATTCACTTAGCCAACTGGCTAGTAACTGTGTTGCTTCATCAAATATGCCAACTTATACCCTCCGGTAATCAGCGTCGTGGCTTGCTTTCTAGTTATGACTAACATAGCCATGGAAAATCCCAACCATAAATAGAGGTTTATAGCTGGGAAAATCACCTACAAATGGGCCATTCTCCATGGCTATGTTAATAACCAGAGGGTATTGGTTACAATCACATATGGGGGGGTCCGAAAAACATGGTGGATCCCCATGTAACCATTGGTTTCAATACGAAGTCATGGTCTAATGACTGGGATGATTCGGGGGTACCCCCATTTTAGGGCACCCCCCGTATACCATTATGTATATCCCATTGTATTCAATTACATCCCCATCATATCACCTATCAATGATGTCATCCATCTGGGTAAATTATAATATTTTACTAACCTGAATCTTGCGGCTATTTGGGGATGATTTCTTTATATCTAAACCATGAGGAACCAGGCAGGGTTCGGGAGGATAGTGTTCGGTCGTCTTCTCCAAGAGAGTGGGATTAACTATATTAACAATATCCATTAATTATAGCATTATACCATTAATATACAATTAACTATCAATTATATCATCCATCATCTTCCCCTTTATACCACCACGTTTGTTGGCTACATCCCAAATTCTGGTTAAATCCAATTGTGCGTTGCTTACTGTAAATCCCTATGTTGGTTGTCTAAATCCCCATTCTTGTTGCAGTTTAAGTCACCAGCGTTGATCTTTAAACCATGTTTAAACCTATACCCTCCACTGAATTAACATATATAATCCATGCCAGATAAAGGTTGGAAGAATAGTTTCCACTAAAGAAATGTTATTTTCAGGATCCGTGTGAATTTACCAAAGGCTAAGTAGCTCCGCCCTGCGCTGGGACGACACAAAGCGTCCTCCGTGCCCAGACATCACTGCTTCGCGGATCATGGCTTCTTCAGCCTTCGCAGATCAGGGTATTGGCGCCTGAAAATGTTGAGGAAACCCCAGAACACCCTACGGTAATTTCATTGAGCAGTGTTGGTTGATGATTATGTTAGGGGTATTATTGGGGATTACCATAATGGATTGTATACGGAAAATCCTATCAACCAGCCAATATTTAAAGGGACAACAGAGGGTTTTAAACACTGCTCAGTTTGCTACGGGAAACAAAAACATTGTAGTTCGATGATTTACCTATCAAACATGGTCACCGGTCATGTTCCATAGCTATGTTAAATTGCCATTCCGGGGTATCTCTATTAAAATCACCAGCCATGTGAATCAGTACATAGTTTTTGGAGGCGAAATGGGATGATCCGCATGAATGATGAATAGTGGCTAACTAGAGTAGTGAAGTATTACCCAATAGTAAACTATCATTGCGATTCATTGCGATTCATTGCCATTCACTGCATACATTTGCCAAAGGTGCAAATCCGTTTCGTTGTTGTATTCAGGAACAGGATGTACATCAAGAACGAAGATTTGGAATTCAAATCACAATGATTAGTACGGTGTGAAAAAAATGTATGTCAGCAGGATGTTTGAATAAATGTGTCTGTCTGAAAACATGGTACCCCAAAATAAATGGTTTACAAAATCCTTTTCCTCAGGTTATAATCGCCATATCTTGGGCAACAATCCCCAATCTTAAAACACAAGCCCATGCTCCATATGAAACTATTTCACTAATGACCACATTGCATCCCCATGATATTACCATTTTATATTGTTGGATTCTATTTCATTAATATTCTACTAGCAATGCCCGCCTACCTTTTGAAGAGATTTGAATGCATTGAAGCGCCTCAAAGGTATGGAAATGAGTTTCCAATGCATTTGCCCTCTGGTAGTTTCTTACCATCCCTATGCAAAATGGCCCATTTAGTAGTTCGATGATTTACATTGTAAAATGGTGGCTTTCCAGTGGGCAAACTGTTAGTTATTACCCAAGGCGCATCACCAAAAATTAGGGAAACAATGATTCTAATGGTATCAGTTACATCATGGATGTATCACAATGATTTCTGATGATATCGAATGATCTACAGTCAATAATGGCTCAATCATTCTAGCTAATGGCTGGATTAAGAATCAAAAAATAATTCTAGTTTGATATCTAATGTTGTCTAGCCAATAGTGACATCTTGGCAATAGTAGAAACCTTTTTTCCCAACTCCAGTTTTATCTCCAATGCTAAAAGTCAATTAGCTTAATTTAATGTTATTATTGCCCAAAAACTCATGTTCTGACCTTGTCCAGAGGGCATGGCCAATAGTGGACCCAACATGGCAATAGTGGAAACTTTTTTCCCAACTCTAGGTTTATCTCCAATACTAAAAATTAATTAGCCTAATTTAATTTTATTATTGCCAAAAAACTCATGTTCCGACCTTGTCCAGAGGGCATGGTATAGTATCCAGACAGATTCCAAGGAGAGCTTCAAAAACCCAAACCCCAACACTCAGACTTTTGTCCTCACAGGCCTCACAGGTGCGGTTCTATCAGAATGTCCAGCTGAATCTTATGAGTTCTCAGCAGATCAGCTATGCCTCTTAGTTCCATCAGAACTGCGCGCAGCCGCATCACAACTACCAGGCCTAGATACAGACTCAGAGCCTCAGCCCAGGTCATGTAGCCAAAGCCAACCAGGTAGTGCCACTAGAATGCCAGCACAGGGATCCAGCAGAAGATGGGCAGCTTGCAGATCCCATCAGAAACCAAACCAAATCCATGCAGAATCTAACAGAAACCAACCCTAATCCATGCAGAACCTATGCGGAACATCTCAGAAATCAAACCAAACCCATGCAGAATCTAACAGAAACCAACCCTAATCCATGCAAAATCCATACCCTATCTATCAGAAACCCAACCAAATCCATTCAGAATCCATCAGAAACACAACAAAACCATGGAGAATCTATCAGATACATATCATGATCCCAGCCATAGGGTTCCAGGAATTTACTATTGGAATGCTGACCCCCCCTTAAAAAAATGAGGTGTGTTATTTTTAGGCAGCCAACATTACATGTATCTACTTATAGCCCTTACCAGCTATAACTGGCTCAACAAATCTCAAGTGATATTGTTCACCAACCAGTGGAGTTCTACTAACTCATCCCATGGCCATGGCCCGTGCCTGAAGGAACCGGGTGGCTACGTCCAGGTCTTCCAAGAACTTCAAACGTTTGCCGCGCGCTGCAACCTGGATGAAAATTTGGACGGCGAGCGATGCGTCCCCCGTTTAAGTTGGTTTCCCCCAAAGTTATAACATTGTATTGCCGGTTGGTGGTATACCTATCCCTCTGAAAAATATGACTTCGTCAGTTGGGATGATGACATTCCCAACTGATTGGAAAAATAAAATTCATGTTCCAAACCACCAATCAGTATTGTAATTCAATGGATTGATAGTTTTATAGTTATCCCAATAGTGTTATAGCTATAACTCACTGTATATCAATGGATTAATCAGTACTAAGTATAGTTACAAAGCTATGACTATAGACTACAGTTACTAAACTATAGTTATAGTTACTAAGTTACTAATCATACTTATCTATAGACTTATAACTATAGTTACCAAGTGTTACGAACCTTTCCGAAGCAGTAAAGTGGGATGATCATTCTCAGAAGCTGGGAAAACATGGGAAAAAACATGGTATATAACCTATATGGAGGTTTCCTAAAATAGGGCTACCCCTAAATCCATTCTAGTAGGATTCTCCATGAAATAAACCATCCATATGGGGGTACCTCCATTTCAGGCAAACTCATAATATGGGACTCATTGTCCATCGCAGGAGTGTTGGAATTTGGGATCATCCGTAGGATCGAAGAAAGATATGTCAAAGATATATGAAAAGTGCATATGAATTTCATTTCATGGTTTTCGTTTTTTGATTTGCATACATGGTTTAGTGAAATCAAACGTCATTCAAAGCATAATAAATCAGATTCATCGCAAAACATTTCCAGTGCTCACCCAGAATCTGTTTCTGATTTGGACACTGGACCTCTCTCAGGTATCTCCCCCTTCTCAAATGAGGCAACAAACTGAAACTGATCATGGCAAGCCTTAGATATTCTGCAAGTGTTGTTTAGATTCATTCATCGTGGCTGGATCAAACAACTACTCAGTAGAAACTCAAAATTGAGTTTCCATTTCTGTTTCAAAAAAAAAGTGAGTAACTATAGTAATACAAATTGATTAAAGCTTGGAAACTACTGCTTCATGACTTTTTGAATTCGATTCATCTACTACTTGCTGGCTGAGCCATCCCCTTCAAAGTATGAGAGTCGATGGAGACCATAATTGCAGGAAAGATCGAAAATAAAACGTAGATCAACCACCACAAACCAGAAGTTAATATTGGTTATCCCAATTATATCCACATGTTATATGGTGAAAACTATTTGTGCTGCTCCAATTTCTCGATGGTCGCCAAACTAAACCCAAGTTTTTGGTCGGTTTTCCAGCCAAAAAATTGATCTAGTTTCTGAAATGCTGCTAACATCTCATACAATGGGAAGAGCATGGAAGAGCTCTTGCAGCATGGCTTCATCATCTCCCACTTTCAGTAGAAGCACCACGGACATCAGTGTCGCGATACCCAACTCTCGCAGCTACGCTTCTGTGGTTTTCGTCTACATGAGGTGGCTTGTGTTGTTGAACAACATCGGTTTTCGCCGTGACATGAGAACAGTGAATTGATCCACCGGTTCATTGTCCCCGCATAATGGAATTACTCCTTGCCAGCAGAATGACAAAGTAGTCCATGCAGCTGCCGGCAACCAGGCTCCTCTTTTGTAGAATCCAGATGCTCCTCTTTTTAGAGCCAAGATCACCAGCTCCCAAACAATTTCGTTTTGTACTTCGAAAAGTCCTTGCTGATACCCTCTGGTAAACATACAAAAAGCTATTGAAAATTGTCATTTATAGTTGATTTAAGCATGAAAAATGGTGATTTTCCATAGTAATGTTAGTTTACCAGAGGATACCAAATCTTTTTCACAATCCGACCTCTAGCTCCAATCAGTTCGGACTCTATAGAGTACCCAAGACGAGCATTGTGTCTATATGCTAAGTCTTAAATATATCTGGCTGAATTGGAAGAAATCACTAAGCTGAAAATAGCTGAAATAATTCAAGTTGGGAATATTTCCCTAATTAAGCATCATTCCAGTGACGTCGCATTGAGGTAATTACAATTCATCCAAATGATACATACATGGATATATATATATATATACATATATATACTGCCTATCATATACACATCAAGCTCTATATTGCATACTGCAGATTACTTCTCCCATTGTGCAAATCACATATCAAATATTATATGTCAATAAAAAAAATGAGCATTATATCAGATTTGTTTTATGTATTATGTGCTTTTAAATATAGTGTGCCAATTAAACTGTATGTTTTATAACATGTACTACGTACTAATTATCGTATGTTGTTTACTATGCGCTATATATTGAATATTTACATAGCACATGTCTTACAATGTATAGCATATTTAAAATGTATTCTATACTTCTATACTTTATACTACATATATCATACATAATCATACAATACAAACAATCATATTGATAGATCCTACTTATTTCTAAACAATATCATTCGTGCTACCATAATTAATTCGATCATGTATTCTTAGCCAGGGAGTTTACCAATCCTGGCAGCAACTAGCTGCTCTAGCTACACCAAAGCCCCTAAGAGGAAAACACATCACCCCAACTGGTTGGTGGTTTCAACCCCTCTGAAAAATCTGAAAGTCCGTTGGGATTATTATTCCCAACTGGAAAAAACATGTTCCAAACCACCAACCGGCCAAAAGTCAAGCTCTTCCCTCCAAGTGACCCATTCTTTGTTGTAAATTGGAATCACTTTGCCCAACCTCAGAGATCCAAAAAGGCTTGGCCCTACCACCGGACCATGGGCAGGACCAAAAAAATCCAGCCCGGGTCCATGGTGTTTTCCCATTGCTGCGGACAATTTTTTGGGGGTCAACTAAATCACATTTGGCAGTCACAAAGCCATTGACTGAGTATGAAAATGTATGAAATGTCAAATATGAGTTTGTCAGAAAATAGGGTATACCCGCAAATAAGCAAATTACAGAAGGAAAATGATGATAAACCACTGGATTTTGGCATACCATACTTTAAGACAAAGCCATATGTTGTTTGATCCCCACGTCTCCATACATCTTACCGGGAGTTACCGGGGAGTCAGCTATCAAAAAAAAAATAAAAGTCATCAAAAAGAAATTTAATTTCCCATCAAAAAAATAAACTCATCAAAAAAAAAATATTCCCTCATATCCTGGCCTGCGCAAGCCAAACGCAAAATACAAGCATCATGAAATCTGTGCATTGCATCATCAAAAAAAAATATGTTTAAATTATTTTTTGATGATTTAAATTTTTTGGGGGGTCATTGGTAAAACAATTATTACTAGCAGAAAAAGTATATTAAAAAAGGAATATACTTGGGAGGGACGGTTGGGTGGGCTTGGTCGACGCCGACATGTACGAGTCATCGCACAAGGAACACGTATTGGTTCGCAAGCTGTTCAATAACGAGGCACAGTAGTCGTTTGGTGTGTGTGTGTGTGCGTGCAACCGAACCAAAATAACAAAAGGTTGACAAAACAAGAGCCATACATGTGGCCTCCCTCCTGGACATGCATCGGGCACCAGTGCCATGTTCCTGACAAAAACACCAACGCGCCTCCCCCCGCAAAGCGTCACATGAGTGGTGTCTACAGGATTACTCTATACCTCTCTTGAGCCTTGACAGCGTATATAAATATGCTCAATACTCATGCAGTACCCACGTAGGATTCAAGTTAAAACAAAAACAAGGGCGCAGCGCCTCCCCCCAACAGAACAGTATAGGTGGGCCGTATCATCCACCTTTGTGGCGTTGTCACAGCACAGAAACAAACCAAGCATGTGGGCTGGGTGGCTAGTTGGCTGGTCAGTTGCTCGGTTGCTCGGTTGCTTGGTTGGTTCGCTTTGGTCAAGCCATTAATCGGAAACTAAAACCCGTTAATCGGAAACTAAAACCCGTTAATCGGAAACTAAAACCCGTTAATCGGAAACTAAAACCTGTTAATCGGAAACTAAAATAATCGGAAACTAAAACCCGTGAATCGGAAACTAAAACCCTTGAATCGGAAACCAAAAACCCGGAATCGGGAACCAAAGCTGAATCGTAAACTAAAGCAGGTGAATCGGAAACTAAAACCTGTTAATCGGAAACCAAAAGAATCGGAAACTAAAACCTGTTCATCAATCCTAATGGGCAACTTGTCTTCTTCCAATGGAGTGGATTGCATGGGTTCTCTTTAATTGGGATCAGACCACGGCAAATCATGGGAGTGAAATCAGTCCGAAGGTAAGATGAATGTCAAAGGAGGATGTGATTTCGTATGAAGATAAGTTGTAGGTGCTATCCTATGTAACACAGTCGCCAGACGGGGTTGGCGGATTTGATTTCTTATGAAGTGAATTAGCGGGTAATATCCTATTGAGCATAGTGGCCAGAGGGGGTGGCGGATTTGATGTCTTATGAAGATAAGTTGAAGTTAATATCCTATTCAACATAGTGGCCAGAGGGGGTGGCGGATAATTTCCTTTGAAGTGAAGTAGAAGGTAATATCCTATTCAACATAGTGGCCAGAGGAGGGTGGCGGATTTGATTTCTTTTGAAGTGAAGTAGAAGGTAATATCCTATTCAACATAGTGGCCAGAGGGGGTGGCGGATTTCATTTCCTTTGAAGTGAAGTTGAGGGTAATATCCTACTCAACATAGTGGCCAGAGGGGGTGGCGGATTTGATTTCATATGAAGATAAGTTGAAGCGAATATCCTATGTAGCATAGCGGCCAGAGGGGGTGGCGGATTTGATTTCTTATGATGGCGGATTTGATTTCTTAAGAAGATACAGTGAAAAAAAATATCCTATGTAGCATAGTGGCCAGAGGGGGTGGCGGATTTGATTTTTAATGAAGTGAAGTAGAGGGTAATATCCTATTGAGCATAGTGGCCAGAGGGGTGGCGGATTTGATGTCTTATGAAGATAAGTTGAAGTTAATATCCTATTCAACATAGTGGCCAGAGGGGGTGGCGGATAATTTCCTTTGAAGTGAAGTAGAAGGTAATATCCTATTCAACATAGTGGCCAGAGGAGGGTGGCGGATTTGATTTCTTTTGAAGTGAAGTAGAAGGTAATATCCTATTCAACATAGTGGCCAGAGGGGGTGGCGGATTTCATTTCCTTTGAAGTGAAGTTGAGGGTAATATCCTACTCAACATAGTGGCCAGAGGGGGTGGCGGATTTGATTTCATATGAAGATAAGTTGAAGCTAATATCCTATGTAGCATAGCGGCCAGAGGGGGTGGCGGATTTGATTTCTTATGATGGCGGATTTGATTTCTTAAGAAGATACAGTGAAAATAATATCCTATGTAGCATAGTGGCCAGAGGGGGTGGCGGATTAGATTTCTTATGAAGTGAAGTAGAGGGTAATTTTCTATTCAACATAGTGGCCAGAGGGGGTGGCGGATTTGATTTCCTTTGGAGTGAAGTAGAAGGTAAAATCCTATTCAACATAGTGGCCAGAGGGGGTGGCGGATTTCATTTCCTTTGAAGTGAAGTAGATGGTAATATCGTATTCAACATAGTGGCCAGAGAGGGTGGCGGATTTGATTTCTTATGAAGATAAGTTGAAGTTAATATCCTATTCAACATAGTGGCCAGAGGGGGTGGCGGATTTGATTTCCTTTGAAGTGAAGTAGAAGGTAACATGCTACTCAACATAGTGGCCAGAGGGGGTGCCGGATTTGATTTCTTTTGAGGTGAAGTAGAAGGTAATATCCTATTCAACATAGTGGCCAGAGGGGGTGGCGGATTTGCTTTCGTATGAAGATAAGTTGACGTTAATATCCTATTCAACATAGTGGCCAGAGGGGGTGGCGGGTTTGATTTCATATGAAGATAAGTTGAAGTTAATAACCTATGTAGCATAGTGGCCAGAGGGGATGGCGGATTTGATTTCTTATGAAGATATGTTGAAGTTAATATCCTATGTAGCATAGTGGCCAGAGGGGGTGGCGGATTTGATTTCTTATGAAGTGAAGTAGAAAGTAGTGTTCTATTCAACATAGTGGCCAGAGGGGGTGGCGGATTTGATTTCTTTTGAAGTGAAGTAGAAGGTAATATCCTATTCAACATAGTGGCCAGAGGGGGTGGCGGATTTGATTTCCTTTGAAGTGACGTAGAAAGTAATATCCTATTCAACATAGTGGCCAGAGGGGGTGGCGGATTTGCTTTCTTATGAAGATAAGTTGACGTTAATATCCTATTCAACATAGTGGCCAGAGGGGGTGGCGGGTTTGATTTCGTATGTATGAAGATAATTTGAAGTTAATAACCTATGTAGCATAGTGGCCAGAGGGGGTGGCGGATTTGATTTCTTATGAAGATATGTTGAAGTTAATATCCTATGTAGCATAGTGGCCAGAGGGGGTGGCGGGTTTGATTTCTTATGAAGTGAAGTAGAAAGTAGTATTCTATTCAACATAGTGGCCAGAGGGGGTGGCGGATTTGATTTCTTTTGAAGTGAAGTAGAAGGTAATATCCTATTCAACATAGTGGCCAGAGGGGGTTGCGGATTTGATTTCCTTTGAAGTGACGTAGAAGGTAATATCCTATTCAACATAGTGGCCGCGGATTTGATTTCTTATGAAGATAAAAGGAAGTTAATATCCTCTTCAGCATAGTGGCCAGAAGGGGTGGCGGATTTGATTTCATATGAAGTGAAGTAGAAGGTAATATCCTATTCAACATAGTGGCCAGAGGGGGTGGCGGATTTGATTTCCTTTGAAGTGAAGTAGAAGGTAATATCCTATTCAACAGAGTGGCCAGAGGAGGTGGCGGATTTGATTTCCTTTGAAGTGAAGTAGAAGGTAATACCGTATTCAACATAGTGGCCAGAGGGGGTGGCGGATTTGATTTCTTATGAAGATAAGTTGAAGTTAATATCCTATTCAACATAGTGGCCAGAGGGGGTGGCGGATTTGATTTCTTTTGAAGTGAAGTAGAAGGTAATATCCTATTCAACATAGTGGCCAGAGGGGGTGGCGGATTTGATTGCCTTTGAAGTGAAGTAGAAGGTAATATCCTATTCAACAGAGTGGCCAGAGGGGGTGGCGGATTCATTTCCTTTGAAGTGAAGTAGATGGTAATATCGTATTCAACATAGTGGCCAGAGGGGGTGGCGGATTTGATTTCTTATGAAGATAAGTTGAAGTTACTATCCTATTCAACATAGTGGCCAGAGGGGGTGGCGGATTTGATTGCCTTTGAAGTGAAGTAGAAGGTAATATCCTAGTCAACAGAGTGGCCAGAGGGGGTGGCGGATTTGATTTCCTTTCAAGTGAAGTAGAAGGTAATATCGTATTCAACATAGTGGCCAGAGGGGGTGGCGGATTTGATTTCTTATGAAGATAAGTTGAAGTTAATATCCTATTCAACATAGTGGCCAGAGGGGGTGGCGGATTTAAGTTCTTTTGAAGTGAAGTAGAAGGTAATATCCTATTCAACATAGTGGCCAGGGGAGGATGGCGGATTTGATTTCTTAAGAAGAGAAGTTGAAGTTGAGAGTGTCGCAGCTTTCATGGAGTCGCAAGTATTCAGAAGCTGCTTGTTCAAAATATGGTTTACTCAACTGTGTCTGAAGAGTCCCAACGTCACAGTCTGTCTGTTGTCTCAGTCGAAACGCACCTGCTCTCGTGTGTTTTTTAGTTTCTGGTTTTCTGGTTTTGGTTTCTGATTCGCGCATTTTAGTTTCTGATTCGCGGGATTTTGGTTTCTGATTCGCGGGAGTTTG